GGGGTTACAGACTATTTTATTTCAACGGGGAGTTATAACGTGTGGTTAAATGGTTACGTGGTGTTAAATGGCTATTTTATTTTATTTTTAATGTGGCGTTATTAGTTTTATTTATTTATTTAATTATAATTATAATTTTTTATGGAGTAATTTTGGTGCGAGAAACTTGTTTTTTTTAATATGGAGTTATTAATTTTATTTATTTATATGATTAAAATTATTATCTATTATAATTTTTGACAAAATTTTTTAGTTAGAAGAACTTGTAGGATTATATTTAGTTTGATGATAAAGAAAAAATTAGTATGAAATTTTTTATTTCTTATTTAAATAGAAATGGTGGTAATGGTTGAGGAACATTAATTTAAAATAGAGTTTACTATTAGCCACTGAAAGTAAAATTTTTATAAGAATAATTCACTTTTTCAATTTTTTTTATAAATATTCTACTTTTTAAATTATTTTCTAAAGTATCTCACTTTAGGGTACAGATAGTATGGTGGTGTCATATGGACTGAGACAACTATATTTGATTTATTGGTGTCGCCAATTGAATAAGAGATATCATATGTTGTTTTCAATTCAATTGGCGACTGAGTCTTAATCTTAAAAGGGAGTCGCCAATTGATATGGAGACAGGGTGCATTGTGAACTTTTTTTTAAACAAAAATAAATAACTTTAATCCTTTATTAAAAATAAAATTACATAAATTTATGTTGGCGACCGGTTGGTCATACCGGCCACCAGTTCCACATTCTATAGACATCCTTACTCGTTGCATTTGTTCTCCTCGTTGTTGATTCACATAGTTTGACACAACGGTAAGCCGTAAAGAAAGCAAAAAGGACGCCCAAACAACACGCAGATAAGAATCGAAATGGATACAGCTAATAAAATGATAAGATTATGCAGTATATGTCGTCATCCTGCATCATAATTTAGTTTATCCTTTCAAATGTTGTAACCTAATATTTCCATATATTAATGAGTATTTGTTACAACAATGTTAACAACAAACGACACATACCGCGAACTAACAACAGACAACACATACAATAGATAACGAAAACGAAACATAGAATATTTTTAACTGATTACAACAATCAAACTAATGTCATTCGGTCCAAACATGACTACCCTTGCATCTTTGTCAGTCTTAATGCGAACTCATCCACATAGGCGATTAAGTCTCTCGATACTTCGAATTTTTCCCCATTCACCAATGTCTCCTTCTAACCACGATTCAACTCCCTCTTAAGTTGATTGAAACTTTGAATGTTCCAAAACAGCATGTCCATCGAAGGCTTCAGTAACTCAAAGATATGAGATTGGAGACACCCTTGTAAGTATTAGATTGGGCCGCCAATTGGATTGGAAACACCATGTGTTGTCTCCAATCCAATTAGCGACAACACATTATCCTGATGAAGGATCGCCAATCCACATGGCGCCACCATACAATCAGTTCTCCAAAGTGGGATACTTTGGAAAATAAATTGAAAAGTTGAGTATTTTGAGATTTTTTTTGAAAAAGTGGGTTATTTGGGTATAAGTTTCACCGAAAGTGTTGGATGTGCTAGCTAATTTAAGCATGGAAGTTTGGTGGATATGAACGATTTTTCCCTTCTATAAATTTCTATTATCCATTATCTTCGTTAGAGATGTTAAATGGACTTAAATTGAGTTTGAATATTTTTTTTCCATTGTCATTCCTCCGGTGCTATCGACTTTTTTTTAATGAAAATAACATTTTTTCAAAATAAAACTTTAATCATATAATTAATATTCTAAATTATCAAATAAAAACGGATATAAATAAGGCATATTTGAGATAGATACTAATATCTCCATTACTTGATTCATCCCCATGTTATATAATTGAAAAAAACTCAAAAACAAGGGAACAAGACACAACAAGATTCTAAGGCATCATTAGTCTACTAATCTGGTGTGTAAGCTTGGAAATTATCCACAGCCTATACACAATCGTATCTATGACATTCGGGCTTATAGTAGTGTGGATCATTCATTACCAAAGTAGTAAAGATTTCTGAACTTCCATATCTCATAAATTATTCAATAAAATGCACATTTCAGGATTGTAGCTCTCCAGTCTTTGCATTTGTAATTGTTGATGATCCAAGTTAACTCTTCTTTCCAACCTTCTGGGTTATGAGTTATTTGGACCCAATTCAAGACATGTTCCTATATGCTTTTCAAGGTCACGCAAGAGAAGAAGATGTGTTGAATCGTCTCTTGATTCATGCAGAAGCAGCAAGTGTCATTATCAATCATCCTAAATCAGTGCAGTCTTTCTTTGGTAGCTAATTTTTCTTGGCATACTATCCAGAGTACAAAAATGACTTTAGGTATAGCTATGATACCATAGAGGAGTTTTCTCCAACTCACCACCTAGTACTACTCCTTTAAGCCATTGCACATTTTTCTGGTATGAAACTTATGTTGTTGCAACATTAAATTTCAAACCTGCATATGAATAACTTTCTGCCTAAGCTTTATGATGGCCTTAAGAATCTATGAGCCGAAGTTTATGATTGGCACTGTCATTATATATGTGTTCTTTGTGTAATAGTAATGGATCCATTTGAACCATAAGGTATATGATTTGCCACTGAGGTTTCACAAAAGTTTTAGCAAGCAAGCTTTGGCCCATTCCACTAGAGATATAATGTTGAGGCCTCCTTGATTTTTGGAAGAGTAAACTTTCTTGTAGGCAACTAGAGACTTTCTCATGAATTATACTATCAAGAACTTTACTCAATCTCGTGGTCATTACTTTGGAGATAATATTATAAATTATTGTACAAGAGATTAGTATGTAGTCTTTAACCATATTGGAAGATGTAGATTTAGGAATGAGAGCAACAAATGTGTTGTTGATGGCCATATATAACCTCTTGTCAAAGAACTTCATACTTATATTGAGGATGTCTTTTTTAGTGATATCCTAGGTTTCCTTGAAACTTTGTAACCATCAATACCAAGGGTTGTCTTGTCACTAATACTTTTGAGGGCTCTTAAAATTACCTCTTCAGTCATAGGAGTAATCAAAATTAATGTAAACAAATTATTAATAATTATAAATTAATATTTTTAAAAAAGTTATTAAAATGTTTAGTAATTTTTCTCAAAACAATTTTTTATTTAATTAAAATATGTTAAAGGACATTTTTTTGGTTATTTAATTAACTTTTAGATTTCACTCGTTAAAAAAAATAAAAATTTAATATATTTTATACTTTGGTTTTGTTTGATAATATCAATTTTAAAATTATAGCCTTTAATACATTAATATAAATAAATATTGCTATTAGGGATTGAATCTTCGATCAATAATTTGTATTTAGTTAATTTAACTAACACATATTAGTTAAGTTATTCTATCAACTTTAAAAATTATAAAATTATTATTTTTTCACAAATTTATATTTTTTAAACTAATTTATAAATTTGTATAAGTTAAGTCAAAACAATTATGGTTTCTCTCACTCAATTATATATATATATATATATATATATATATATATATATATATATATATATATATATATATATATATATATATATATATATATATATATATATATATATATATATATATATATATATATATATATATATATATATATATATATATATATATATAAACTTGACTACATATATATATATAAATATATATATATATATATATATATATATATATATATATATATATATATATATATATATATATATATATATATATATATATATATATATATATATAAACTTGACTACATATATTATACTTTTAAAATAATAATCATTTTAGTAATATTTAACCTATGGTAAATGTTTCTTGAATAAAATGACATTATATTCTCTTAAGGAATAAAAATAAGAAAATTAATATTCTCTTAATACTAAAAATAAATAAAATAGATTTTAAAAGTCCAATGTTTTTTATCCAAATTCTGGTCCAAACACACTTAAAAAAAAAGCAACATTATATAGTATTATTAGAAGTATATAATAATTAAATATAATAAAGTGTGATATAATATTTAATATTTCTATTAATATAAATAAACAATTGATATTTATAAATCAACAATTTTTTAATTAAAATATAATATTTAACATAATACAACTTTTTGACTAATATAATCTGATATTTAAATTGTTTAAACTAATAAAGTATTTGACTAATACAGTTTTTAAAACATTGAACATTACAAGTTACAATACTAATAAAGTAATAATATTTTTCATGAATATTTAACAATTAAACTTTATTAAAGTCCGATATGATATTTTATATAATAAATGACAAACTCATATTGGTTAATATATATATATATATATATATATATATATATATATATATATATATATATATATATATATATATATATATATATATATATATATATATATATATATATAATTTTATTTGACGTTGTTGATACGTTTAATAATGGCTCATGGATACTTTTCAATATTTTTTATTTAATAATTTCTTAGCCAACATTATATAACAAGAACAATTCTCAAAGTTTAATGTGGTACGGAAAATAGATATTCGAGTCTCTTAAAAAACTTAATTGAATAGTTAATTTTTAAAATTCATATAAAAAAATGAGATTAATATTTATACTATGATGTATCTTTAGTATTTGTTCTATTTTTTTATTAATAAAAATCAATAAAAAGTAAAGGATAATTTTTCAATAAGTTAAAAAGTTAACCTTTACTTGTAATAAAAAAGAAGTTATGATAAGGAAATGAGGGTTGTTTCCATAGAAAATATTACACTTATAGATAATATCATGAACTATATAGATATTTTTTTAGCATTACATTTATAATAAGCATTTTGTTACTTTAAAGTTGATTTGGTTCAAAGTTCAAACAAACTAGATTCTAGAGAATTACTTTCTATGACAAACACTTATATATAGTGAGAGAGAGAGAGAGAGAGATATTAAGAGAGAGAGAAATGAAGAGAGGCAAAGTTGAAAAGAATGTGACATGGTCTTTCACACTATGTTTTGTCTTAATTTCTCTCATCACAATCTCATTTCCATTTTGTGAATCCTTCAACTATGGGCAAGCCTTGTCACAAAGTCTCCTCTACTTTGAGTCACAACGTTCAGGTCACTTACCCTACAATCAAAGGGTCAATTGGCGTCACCATTCTGGTCTCAATGATGGCCTAGATCAAGGGGTATACTACATAGAGAAATATTATACAAAGTCGTCTTAAATTTTTTTAAAATCAAAATAAAATTAGTTTCGGTTGATTTGTGATTTCTTTTTAAAAAATTCTACGTTATAAGCCTTTTAGACGGAGTTCGATTAAGCCTTTGATATATTATGAAATTTCTTTTGAATAACACATAGGTGGACTTGGTGGGAGGCTACTATGATGCAGGAGACAATGTGAAATTTGGACTACCAATGGCTTTCACCATAACTCTCCTTTCTTGGGCTGCCATAGAATACGGCGAAAAAATCGCCAGCGCCGGCGAATATGTCCATACAATGGAGGCTATCAAATGGGGGACTGATTATTTCATTAAGGCTCACACACAACCAAATGTTTTATGGGTAGAGGTATTTTCTTTTTCAAAATCATAGAGTTGGATTTCGAAATTTATGAGTATCAAAAAAATTTTAATTTGAATTCTCAGGTGGGTGACGGAGAAACGGATCATTATTGTTGGCAGCGACCAGAAGACATGACTACGTCGCGAAGAGCTTATAAAATTGACGAAAACAACCCCGGCTCTGATGCTGCTGGCGAGACCGCAGCGGCTTTGGCAGCAGCATCAATTTTGTTTAGGAAAACAAATCCACATTACTCTCAACTACTGTTGCATCATGCACAAGAGGTATATAATATAGATATTAATTAATTAATTAGTAATTTGATTTGATTTAATTTAATTGATTGTGATAATTGTGTAGTTGTTTGAGTTTGGTGACAAGTTTAGGGGTAAATATGATGAGAGTGTTGAAGTGGTAATAGGGTATTATACCTCAGTTAGTGGATACATGGATGAGTTGTTATGGGCAGCAATATGGTTATATAAGGCTACAGAAAAAGAAGAATATTTAAAGTATGTTTTGGAGAATGGTTATGATTTTGGTGGAACTACATGGGCCATGACAGAATTTAGTTGGGATGTTAAGTATGCTGGTGTTCAAGCCATTGCTTCAATGGTAAATCCTTCTCTCTCACACTTTTTAAGTTTTATTATATATTTTAACTAGGAGTGAAAATAGGTTGGCCGAATTAAATTTTGTCAAATTTGAACTTAAGTCTGCTTTATCAAAAAAACTTAAACTTAAATCTGACCTATAATTTGTTATAGGCTTATTTTTAAATTCGAGTCTGACATTTTTTAAGATCTGGTTAGTCTGTTGACCTATATAAAAACCTGTTATTTTAAATTCGAGTCTGAAATTTTGTTTACATTGACTTATTTTAAGTCTTGTGAGATCATTTGTTTAAGATAATTTATAAAAATAACTTATAACATTGTTCTTAAAGTATTTTTATCTTATTTTTATAAGTTTTCCAAAATAACCAATTTTTATTTATATATTTGAATTCAAAGTATAAAATATAATATAATAATAATAATAAAAAAATTATTAATATTTATTTAAAAAGGCCGACCTATTAGATTTAAAAGGTTTTTTTTTCATATTCTAATACCTAATTTATTTAATTAAATAGACTTATAAAAAAAACTTAACTATTTTTTATTAAAAAAAAATTTCAATTAGCCTTAACTTATGTAACTTGACGTATTTCCACTCCTAGTTTTGACCAATGAAAAAAAAATATAAATAACAAATATATTTTTATGGATTAAACACTTCATTCGTATCATATAGATACAAATAATATAAATAACAAATATATTTTTTTAGGTTTAATATTTTTTAATCCCTGTCAACTAGATTGGTCAATTATCTTAAAAAAATTATATTAGCTTTTAATTCTTTAAAATGGACTATGATAGTTTTATTTTATTTTTTATTTTAATCAGCAACAAATTTAACGATTAATTTTTGAATTTTTTTATCTAATTTTAAAATGATCAATTTTGAAGAGTTAAAAGGTTAATAGGAACTTTTTTTTTAAAGTTAAAAGTAGTAAAAGAAATAATAAGTTTTTTTTATAGTAACATTTGTATATTAAAAGTTACTGGTCTAAATATTTATAGAATAAAAGAATTGTTGTCAAATTGTTTTAACTTTAAAAAAAAATTTAATAATTTTTTTTATGAAAATATTTTTAAAAACACTAATAAAATAATTAAATTTATTTTTTATAAATTAAAAGATTAATTTTGACATTCAATAACATTTACTTACATTATTAAAGATTAAAGTATTGTCAAAATCAAATGCTTTTCTTTTAAAATATATCTCAAAAATAATAATTATAAAAAACATTCAAAATAACTTTCAAATTTAAGTAATTTAAAAAAAGTTAATATCTAAAAAATATTTAATAAAAATATGAAATACCTCAAATAACACTTAATGAAAAAAAAAAAAGTCTAAACTTATAACATTCAAGAAAAATATATTTTTTAACATTAATATTATCTATGGTCAAACATTATTATAATAAAAGCATGTCTTTTAATTTGTCTAACAAAATTGATTTTGCTTCAAAAGCTTAGTTTTTATTTTACAAAAAAAAAAAAAACTCAATTTGATTTGAAATTGTAAAAATATGATTTTGTAATGAGTTGAAAAATGTACTTTAACTTTTAAAACCATATATTTCTTCTTCTTCTTTATTATTATTATTATTATTATTATTATTGTTATTATTATTATTATTATTATTATTATTATTATTATTATTATTATTATTATATATGATCTTATTTATAAAAAAATTAATTTTTAAATTCATTGAATAGATAATGTATGTGTTCTTTAAATTGTCCAAATATATTAATTATTCAATGTATTTATATACATTGTTTATTATTATAAACAATTTTTTTTGTTCATTCAACAATTGATGTATCTAGATTATATACATACTAATTTGTCTATTATTATTATTATTATTATTATTATTATTACTATTATTATTACTATTATTATTACTATTACTATTACTACTACTACTATTATTATTATTATTATTATTACTATTATTATTATTACTATTATTATTATTATTATTATTATTATTATTATTATTATTATTACATATGATCTTATTTATGATATTTTTTTTTCCATTCAACAATTGATGTATCTAGATTATATACATACTAAATACATCAATTATTAAATGAAAAAAAAAATCAAATTTATTTATAATAGTAATAAAAAGATATAAATTTTTTCTTATAAATAAAATAAAATGAAGTATTTTAAATTTTTTTAACTACAACAATTGTTGGTATGAAATTCTAAAGTGTCAGCCTATAACATCTATTCATAAATATGACCTTAAAAGTCAAAGCAATTCACTAATCTATCTTAAGTAATTGATTGTCAGTATAAATTAAATCTTTTTTGTAAATATACTGACATTTTCTTTTAACAGCTTCTTATGGAAGAAAAACACAAGAAACATGAAGTAATACTCGAACAATATCGTTCAAAAGCAAATCATTATATTTGTGCATGTCTTAACCTCAACAACGCAAGTAAGGATAATGTGAATCGCACTCCAGGAGGATTACTATACATTCGTCAATGGAATAATATACAATACGTAGCAAATGCAGCATTTCTTCTCACAGTTTTCTCAGATCATCTCTTAGCCACAAATCAAAAGCTACAATGTCAAAAAGGTGTAGTGGATTCTAATGAAATCTTTTCATTTGCAAAATCACAAGTTGATTATATATTGGGTTCTAATCCAATGAATATGAGCTATTTTGTTGGTTATGGTCCTAAATTTCCACAAAGGGTGCATCATAGGGGTGCATCCATTGCATCATATAAGGAGAATATGGGCTTTATTGGATGCACTCAAGGCTTTGATATTTGGTATGGAAATCCTAAGCCCAACCCAAATATACTCATTGGGGCCCTTGTTGGTGGGCCTGATAAAAATGACCAATTTAGAGATGCAAGAGGAAATTACGAGCAATTGGAGGCTTGCACATACAATACGGCTGCACTTGTAGGGGTTTTTGCTAGATTATATGATTTAGAGTAATCAATTTGATCATTTGTAACTAAATAACATATAGAAAAATAAAATTTGGTATAGTATATTATTAATGTTGGTTTTTAAGAGTGTTTGTTTAGATAATATTGTTGTATTTTTATTATATAATGAGATATAAACTATATATTAATACATTTAAAGTCTAGAAATATTATTAGAATAAATGCTTGATTGTTTATAATTAGTGGAATAATTGAAAATATTGAACTTGTCGTTGTTGTCAATCCTGTATGAACTGTTGATTTATTTTATTAGTGAATCGTAATATTTAATAAATAAAAATATAAAGTGACGAGAGATAGAGAGGAAGTAATTGTCTGTAGGGATAAAAACTATAAAAAAAAAGGTTTTTATGAATTTTTAGACTAAAAATATCGCAAGTAATAAACATCAATCATGAGTTCTGTAATTGAGAAGAAAGTGAGTATGTTTTCATATTTAGGGGGCGTCATTTAATAAAAAGTCATTAGAATTAGGAAGAGGCTTTAAACAACATAGAGTTTGTTGGTTCTTGTAAGACTAAGTGTACTAATTCGGAGTAGTGAATTTCCTTTCTTGGATAGAGTGTCTCATAGAAGTAGTTGTGGTTTCATCGAACTAGGTTATCATTCTCGTGTGTTTTTATTGCCTTATGTTATGTTTATTTATTGCTATCGTATTCTCTTTTTATGATTTAAGTAGTTAGGATAATTATTTCAACATTGTGCCCAACATCAATCCCTTCAGAAACATAATTACACACTCCATGTTGTTTTGCACAATACAGTCAATCCAAAATGAACAGCACGTTCCCGTCTAAATCCTTAAATATTGCCATAAAGGGAAAAGGGAAGAAAATGTAGCAAATATGTACCTAAAAATGGAGATTAAGAGCTTGAGCTTGAGAAAATTGGAAAACGAGTATGCTACATACTTGAGGTACTTTGAGGTAGTTTCTCAAAAGACTTGAGAGAAGAAGACATGAGAAAAGGTTAATGGTAGGAATTGAACTTCTTTTTTTATAGGGATTAAAAGTCCAACCATAGGGATAATCAATAACCATGTCTTTGACACGTGTGAGAGATTAAAACCAATTTACATTTTCAAGATTAAGTTATCATTGATCATATTTAATGCTACACATGCATTCACTTCGACTAACATTTAAAGATTCACCTCACTAACACCTGAAGGTGTATCCTAGACCATACTTAAGGGACCTATCCCTAACACACCTAAGGGACTCGCCCCAAAAATGCCTAAGGGACTCTTCCAAATTCGAAGAGGTGATAAAACTAAATCGCTTCGCCCTTTACAAGTTTGCGTGCTTGAGGGACTATGCACTAGCATGTTTGTCGAAGATTTATACAGGAAAACACAAGATGCACCAAAGGAGGATATTGTTCGTTGCTCCTGAGCAGTGTTACTAATCCTCTGTTTTTTATTTGTGCACTGATTTATTATAATGCGCGCATATTATCTAGGGATTCGCGCACTCGTGAGAACATGATTGTATGATATGCCTTACTCATAGTGGTATAGGGCAGTCAAAGGAGATAGTCACATCCTCCAGAATAATATTTTCCATGCTTTTGGCAGTGGAAAGCATTGTTACCAATTTCTTAGATTCTAAGATTCAAGTTCAAGGAATTTTTTTAAATACCTCAACCCTTGAGTTGAGAGAACATTAACGAATCAAATATTAATATACAAAACCTCTTACAATCCTTGCACAAGTTTCCCATAACATAATAACCTTAAAATCCTCTCTATATATCTAAGGTTGTCGTATCTTAATTCTATTATTAATTTAAATTGGTGGAATGTGTCATGTTAGGGTTTTTGTTATATATATATATATATATATATATATATATATATATATATATATATATATATATATATATATATATATATATATATATATATATATATATATATATATATATATATATATATATATATATATATATATATATATATATATATATATATATATATATATATATATATATATATATATATATTATCGGAAATGTTTTATATAATAAATAAAGATATCAAATAGTGAAAAAAAATCACCAAAAATATAGTGAAAATCTAATCATAAAAATAACATCATTAGAATAGAAAACCAAAGCCTGGCTTTGTTCTTCGTTGGGCGTTACCACTGAAACAAAGTCAACAACACTCTCAACTCAACACAACCCTAAAACCGAATCAATGTCTTCTTCTTCAGAGGTTCTCCAACAACTTGAATCTCTCAAGGAAGAAAAAGCCAAAATCGACAACAAAATATCACTTCTCGAAGCTCAATTGAAGGAAATTAATCTCCAAAACGGCGCTGCTGCATCATCCAATGGCTCTTTACTGTACCCTACAAATGGATTAGAACCTCACATGATTCATAGATACAGTCGCCACCTTGTTCTTCCTTCCTTTGGTGTTCAAGGTACAAATCTAGTTTACATTTCAATTATAAAAGTGTAAGTTTTTATTTATTAAAAAGTTGAATTAGTTTTATGACGATCCAATTAATGACTTAAGGGTACTCATTATTTTTACTTAGGCTCTATTAGTTAAACAACTTAATTATGTGCTTATCGTGGAAGTGCTTTTATATAAGCTATTTATATAACAAAGGATTAAATGAATTTAGAGTGTAAGTTGTTTTCTTTAGCTATCCTGTGAAAATAAATTATTTACATGAACATGTTATAAGGTGTTTCTATAAGCTGTCAAACTGTCTCACAAGTGTTTATTTGTATGTTTTGTTTCTATTTTGGAAGATACAAAAGCAGTTTTAGAGGTGTAGAATTGATTTTGATGTGTTCGGTTCGTCAAATGTAGAATTGATTATGCCTGCAGAATTGATTCTACTAGTACTAGAAGTTAGGATTTGTAGCTTTTGAGTCTAAATATGATTTTTACAGTGAAATTGAATGTTAGACTCACTTTTGCAATAATGTATGCAAACATTAATCACTTTAGAGTCAACTAACTTTTAGTCAAAATCAATTCGACTGAATTAGTTTATTCAAAATCAAATTTTGTCACCGCAGAACCAAACAGACACATTTCATTAAATAAGGTCAAGTGAGTCAATCCAAACAGAAGTTAGAATATAGTTATTGGTTTTGGGTTGCAATTCCTTTATAGAGATTAGAAGTATTTAAGTTATGCTAATTTATTAGCTTTGAAAATTGTTTTTCTGCTTTATTATCCCTCCTTGAGCAGAAAGACATTTTTTAATGACATGCTTTTTCATTTTTTGTTGCACAGGACAAACAAATTTGTTGAAGTCGTCAATTTTAGTTGTGGGAGCTGGAGGGCTGGGGGCTTCTGCATTGTTATATTTTGCAGCTTCTGGTGTTGGTAAAATATGACACTTTTTCTAATGATTTTTGCTTTGTTCTATAATCTATAATCTCATCAAAGCTTACATTTTGAAAATTGTACTCAGGTAAACTGGGTGTTCTTGATCATGACAAGGTTGAGTTGAATAATATGCATAGACAGGTACTTTTTTGTTTCCTAAACTTGTGGTACGGCCTGTGCAACATGTAGTTTGTGTTGTTCATGTTTGTTGTATTGCGGTGTTTGCATTTTTGTGAGTACGAGTTGTTCTTAGCATGTAACTTTGTTTGCTTTTATATATGTTTATTTCCTGTTTGTAATTTTGATCTTATTTAGTTAAACTCATATTCACGATGTTTTTAGATTATACACACTGAAGCATATATTGGTCAGCCAAAAGTGAAATCCGCCGCTGCTGCTTGTCGCTCGTATGTTGCTCTCTTTAATCTTACCTACAATTCATGTTGGTTTTCGATCAAATGTTTAGACAACTTGATATCACTATTGTTGGAACATGGTACTAAGTTTTCATGAATATTTAGGATCAACTCATCTATTGAAGTCGTGGAACATGAAGAAGCTTTGAAGAATTCCAATGCTTTGGAAATTTTCAGCAAGTATGTTTCCTTTTTATAAGAAGACCAATCTTTCTTTCCTCTATGCTTACTCTTTTCATTTCTCTTTGAATATTACCGCTGAATCCGCGTGATATCTTTTTTCATCTTGAATTTGCTAGATACGATATAATAGTGGATGCAACAGATAATGCTCCCACTCGGTATTTGATCAGTGACTGCTGCGTGGTACTAGGAAAGGTACATCTTAATGTAGATCGGTCTTTTCCCCCCAAATTTGTTTTCCTATAAATCATATTTCTTATCTTGAATTTGCACAAGTCCAAACGACATAAGTTACTTCTATTGAAACGTTTTTTTTAATTGCTTTGGTTCTACTTGTGCAGCCCCTTGTATCAGGTGCGGCCGTGGGATTGGAAGGACAGGTATACATCTAATTATTTTTTGTTCTACAATTTAAGTCAAACGATGCTTCACCGAGAAACTTGTTCTCTTAGTTTCTTGATTATAATTTATATCACATTAATTTGAGGTATAATAATGGAAAACGTATGATGCAGCTCACTATCTACAATCACAATGGTGGTCCTTGCTTTCGATGCGTCTTTCCAACTCCACCACCTAGAGCAGCCTGCCAAAGTTGCGCCGATGGTGGAGTACTAGGAGTAGGTATGCTCTCTTCTTCGGCAATAACAAAATCCGCGTTTATCATTTTAAATACTTATCATTCATGATTCAACTTGCATTGCTATTTCAATTTGTTCTGAATTTATGACATTTGGTCTGTTCATCTCAGTTCCTGGTATAATTGGCTGTCTCCAAGCTCTTGAGGCGATTAAGATTGCAGCTTCTGTTGGTGAACCACTCTCTGGAAGGATGCTTCTCTTTGATGCATTGGCTGCACGGATCCGTATTGTATGTTAATGATAACTTGACAGCCTTACAAGATGGAATTAAGATATATAACTCCAATGAATCAATGATAGTGTAATAGAATGCTTATTTTTGAAAGATGCATTATGAAAAAGAAATAGTAAGATCTAATATCTATGACAAGAGCTTATGTAATCTTATTGCACAGGTTAAAATCAGAGGAAGGTCTTCACAATGCGAAGCTTGTGGAGAAAATGCAATAATGAATAAGCAGTACTTCCGAGAATTTGATTATGAGAAGTTCACTCAAACTCCCTTGTCTGAGGTATGGTATCTTTTACTATTGGCTGAAACAAACCTTCTTATTAGAGTTGACATCAGTTTGACCCAATTGAAATGACTTCTGCTAACCAAATATTAGAAGTTAGTTTTGGTATCAAGCAATATTGTCAATTGCGGATCTCAGAAAATAGTAGTTTGCTCAACTTCTGCCTAATGGTTTTGTACTAAACAGTGTATCGAGGAACCACCATTTAACAACACTGTATCCAGTGTATTCAAGATCAAGTGATGGATCGTAAGATCTTACGTGCTATGACTGCCAAAGTGTGCTATGATCACAGCAAGATCGTTTTCGTTGCCGGCGCAGTCAAGATCGAGATCTTTGAAGCAAGATCGTAAAAAAAAAAGAACGTGTAGGATTTTTTTGTTAGGCCTGTCTGACTAGGTTAGGGTTTTTATTAAAAACTCAGGTGCCCTTTATAAGTGGGAACCTAGTGCATCATCTAACCCCAAACCACAATTTTCTCAAACACAAAAACCGCATCTTTTGAGTTTAGTCTTTTGAAGATGATGGTTATATCATTTTTTTTGGTATAAACCGGTATCCTCTACTCGCAATTGCAGAGACTAATCTCTCGAGCCTTGTAGGAGCATAATAGGTGGCAAACTCTTCCTAATAGAGTTAGTAAAAGCGGTGGTTAAGAGTTATCAATTAAATTGGTTGAGGTTGTGACTTTTATGTTATTTTGTCCATGTATTATAATTTTTTCCTTCATTAGGATCTTACATGTCGTGTTACGGTCTTTCACTGGCCGGCCGATCCTACTTAAGATCCTGTGTTTGACTACATTACTGCCATCAATGAAAGTTGCCATCAATGAAAGTTACAACCTGCTAGCCAAGACATACACATACACTATCACAAAAACTAGTTTTACACTGACGATGAGTTTTCATTGAACATCATTATAAAACCAATTAACACATGGTAGGGTGCATCTCTATTAAACCGATAACATTTTTCATATCATTAATGCATTCCAATTCCATGCAAGTGCAGGCTCCATTGAAGTTAAATCTACTTCCTAAAGACTCGCGAATCAGCAGCAAGGAGTACAATGAAATCATTCTCAACAAAGAACCACATGTGCTTGTTGATGTTAGACCAGCTCACCATTTCAAGATTGTGTCTCTTCCGAATTCGGTCAACATTCCATTCGCAGATATAGAGTTTAGGTTGCCTGAAATTTCGTCAATTTTGAAGAAAGAGGAAGAGGAAAAACGTGCAGAATTGTATGTTGTTTGCAGAAGGGGAAATGATTCTCAAAGGGCTGTTCAATATCTTCACAAAATGGGGTTTGGTTCTGCTAAGGATATTGTTGGAGGTTTGGAGTCTTGGGCTAAAAATGTTGATCCTAACTTCCCTACTTATTAGCTCCATGTCAGTTAAAATTTCTTCTGTTTTGAAGTAATGTAGTTAAACTTTGTTCAAGTTTTATACTTCTAACTTGATTACTATATATTTTTTTTATGGGTGCTGTTTTCATTTTCCTTGTATTTTTCACCTTATGTTTAAATGTTATAGAATCCTTTGAGAAACTTTTGCATTGGTTAGAACATTTTTCATCTTATTTTCCTTGTAATGAATTGGTTTACACTACAACTTAATCTTTATTGTTTCAAGAAATATAGACTACATTGTGATTTTAGATTAGCAATTTCAAGAAATGTTATGATGATCAATATCAAGAAATGCATAAAATGAACCAGTGTGTATACTTTGGTCATGCACTATGGTGTAAAAATCCAAACTTACATATCAAAAGTTAATACTAATGTCTAAAAACTATTTTCCTCTATCTTTCTCACTCTATATGTGAGACTCTCATGCCAACATAGGAACCGAAAACAAGTTTTACTAAGTTAACAACTGAAACAAGTTTATCATCTTCACCACTTGGAAAGTGAATACATCTTTCACCATCCAAGAAGCAAAACCTTCAATAGAGCCATCCTAATGTATAAACCATTCTTTGCCTGCCTAAAATAAGCAGCTCTTGGATCATTATCGACATCAGCTTCAATCTGCATAAAATTTAAAGCGACCAAGTTAGATTATATTGAATCTTAATGCTTACACCCTCTAGTCTCTATTATAAGCAAAAATTCTATTTTCAGATTTATTGAATAACTTGCGTACCTGGCCTAGAAATAGACCAGATACATTGATCATTCAATGAATTTGAAAAGAGAATATTTGTTTATAATAGTTTCAGAGTAGTATGTTCATAATGACTTTGACTTTGAATGCAAAAAATATCATACGGCAAGGTTGTATTGTATGTACTCACTTCGTCGAGTTTGGGAAGAGGGTGCATTACAACAGCATGATTTTGCATCACTTTTAGAACATCTTGATTCACAATATACTTTCCTCTTGCTTCTTCGTAAAGGTTAAGTTTCTCTCCAAATCTTTCCTTCTGAATGCGAGTTTGATAAACCACGTCGCACTTAGAAGCCACTTCCATCAAATCAGAACTTTCTTCCCACTCCACTCCTTTTGATGTCAGATACTCTTTTATGTCATCCTGTAAAAGAAAATCACATAGCTCAGCAGCATGTTGTCTATCGTGTTCGTGATAGCATAACTAAGCATTTGCATTGAAACAATTACCTTCATTTTAACCACGTTAGGAGATACGAAATATAATTTAACGTCACGGTACTTGGCAAGTAAGTAAGCAAGTGAGCGAACTGTCCTTCCATTAGCAAGGTCTCCGACAAGCCCAACTTTAATTCCATCCAGTTTTCCTATCTCTCGTTCAATGGTATAAACGTCTAACAACGCCTGAAAAATTTGAAAAAAAAGCAAGTGTTTGAGCATAATAGTACCCTCCATTTGGTTTTAAGAGATAGATATGTATCATCCTACGTTCCTATCTGATTGACTAGCAGTGAAGCATTGGATTTTGCATCACTAAACTATATGCCGGGCCATCTTTGATGGCGTGGAAGGCAGATTCAGAGCCTAAAATTTGTTACGGTTAAACCGTACTTAAATAGGACCTCATAAAATCTTTATCACTAACTGACTAAATAGGGTCTTTAATTATTTTATCATGGTTGAACGTGACTAACCTACACACAGCCTCCAAAAACTTAAGATGACTCTATTGTATAATGGAAAATTCATTCATACCTGGCTGGGATGCTGTCCTGGACCATCCCCTGCATTGATAACCGGAATGTTAGCCGTCGCTGCAGCTCTTCTTGCTGCACCACTTTCAAAGTGGCGCAATACAATTATATCAGAGTAACCTTCAACCGTTCTTATAGTATCTGCAATAAGCAAAATTATACATACAAGAATACATAAAAAAAGAAATGAATCTACAAATGAAATTTGTTTTTTTTGTAATGTAAAACAGCACACGCACCTTCGAGCGTCTCTCCTTTAGCCGCAGACGAAAACTCCCTAGCATTTTCAGTTGTCAAAACATCACCACCTAATCTTTTCATTGCAGACTCAAATGAAAGCCTAGTTCTAGTAGAAGGCTCGTAAAACAATGTCGCCATGAGGTAACCCTTAAGCATTTGGCTCCCCGACGAGTTACCCCTAATATTCTCCATACTCCTAGCAACTTCAAATATCGCACTGAGAGTTTCTCTATCAAACTGTTGAGCCTCAATCACATCATCAAGTTGAAACTTCTGCCCAACAGAAAACAAAGGTGCACTTTCAACTTGAAGTGCACCTGCCCGGCACAAAAGTTTCGATTTTTCCGAAACTCCAAACTGCCCACATGACGAAACAGACATCGAACGACTCGGTAGCCATGGCCGGTTCAGCAAACAACAGGCAGAGGTTTTTGAAGACATCTTTGGATTAGAAACTCCCACATGCATAGAGCATGAGAATAACATAGAAGCAACTGTCATTGTGTTTTGATCTATACAATCAGCTACAAAACACAAAACAAAACACAAAACAAAGTCATGTAATGTTTGGTATGAACTATTACAAGGCCATTTATAATTACAAATTACATAGAATCATACCAAAAACAACGAATTTAATACTCAAAAGCAAAAGGGTATGAAAGTAACGTGATATATTTTTTAAAGGAACCATTTTTTTCTAAGCCAAGAGACAAAAGAAGAGTCACCTGAATCGAAACACGGATCAAAAAGAGACGGCAGAAGAATCTAGAGCCAAAAGACAACAAGTTATTGAAGATAAAAGAGTGAATTTAATGAATAAAACAGAAATATTTGATGAAATGGGAGGAATAAAAAGTTAAGAGAAGAAAAAAGTGTACCGCGAATGTTGTATTTTGAAGACAAGAGAAAGCAACGGCTTGAAAACAAAGACTCCACTGTGTTTGTCTGTCTGTGAATATAGAGAGATGCGCCAAGAGAAGACGGCTTTGTCGAAACTAAAACCTTTGTTTTACTTAATCGGGCAAATATTTTGTGTAGCCCAAGTTGTTGATTACATTATTTCTGGGCCGGGCCGGGTCGGGTCGGGTCGGGTCGGGTCATCCTCAACACCACTCTATTTCATGAGGATTGTCAATTAGAAAACAATTGAAGTTAGTGGATGTTTATTTATTATTTTATTTAACTTTTCTTTATGTTAATGAGTATGTTAATTAGAAAGCAAGGCTATTTGTGTTCTTATCAACTAAGAGTAATGGTTGTTAGTTAGAATAAATCTTTTGAATTTTTCCTTTTTTATAGGAATGTTTAGTTAGGGTAAGAGCCCACATTTGTATGTGGCAACACTAGTGTAAGGATTTACAAAAGCCATTTACTTTTCATTAGATACATAGAAATTTATTTTTCTTGATAATTAATATTTGGTACTAGATATTCGAGATGAGTCTGGTTAATTGAAGTGGCATCAACAATGGCATCTGAAGGAGCAATAATGGATTTATGCAACCATTAGCTTCAAAGCTTGATAGTTACTATGATCTTTTGAGCATGTTGATGGATAATTTTTTTGAAATCAAATGAATATTGAGGACTGATTTAAAAAAGGATTTCCGTAGTAAGAAGTAAGAGATGAAACAACATTGACTGATGCACAATTAAAATCAAGAAATGACTTAAAACTAAAGGATCTAAAGGAAAATAATTGTTTGTATAAAGCAATTGATCGAGTTGCTCTATATATTATTCTCAAGAAAGACACCGCTAAATACATTCGGGACTCCTTAAAGAAAAAGTGCTAAGGCACTAGTAGAGTCAAATGGGTTGAACTACAAGCTCTTCATAAAGAGTTTGAAATCTTTTACATGAAAGTTAGAGAATATGTCGATGAATATTTTGAAAGGATGCTAACAATTGCAAACCGAATGAGAACTCATGGAGAAAATATGGAAGATGTTACAATCATAGAGAAAATTGTATGCTTTATAACCTCTAAGTTTGATTATATCGTATGTTCAATAGAAGAATTTAATGACATTGACACTATATTAGTAGATGTGTTACAAAGTTTGATGGGGCATGAACAACACGCGCAAAATTACATTTATGAACAACAAGCTCTCAAAGTAACTCATATTGGAAATTTCTATGAAAGAAGAAGAGGTTGAGGAAGCTTTAGAGGAAGAGGATCTGGTCGTGACACTGGAGAAGAAATTTTTAGCAAGACATCCATTGAACCCTACAATTGTAAAAAAAAATTGACCATTTTCAATTGGAATGTTCTCATAAAATAGTAGGAAAGGCAAACCTTGGTGAAGAAAACGAGGAAGGAATATTATTGATGGCTTACATGGAGAAAAAGCAAGCTGAAATGGGGAGATATGATACCTCGATTCTGGATGCAGCAATCACATGACAGGTGACAAAATATTTTTTTGTGATTTAAATGAAGGTTTTCGACACAATGTCTAGCTTTGAAATGAATCTAGCATGAGTTTTATGGGAAAATTAATTATTAAAGTGAAAATGAACAAAAAAATAAAAGCAGTGGATGACGTATACTGCATGCTAGAACTTAAAAGCATTTTGATTAACCTAGGACAATTGCAATAAACAAGTTGTACAATTTTAATTCAGAAGGGATCTTGTCAAATTCATGGTCCAAAATTGGGACTGACTATAACTATTAAGATATATAGAAATTAAAAGTTTCATCTAAAAACCAAAAACATTTGAAGATCATACTTGTCTCAAAGTATCTGTTTTCGATCCTTCATGATTGTGGCCCTCTATGTTTAGACGTTTAAACTCCAATAGACTTAGAGCTTTGTAATAGAAAGAAAGTGTGAAAAGGCTTCCAAAGATTGAAACTCCATCTCGTGTATGTGAAAAATGTGTGATTGCAAAGCAACATTAAAAATCATTTCTCTTGACAGAAATTAGAGAGCTAGTGAATATGATTGTACTTTGTTGGATCATATGATTGTTTGGTATTATTTGAATATTTTAAATTTATAATTATTACTCAATTGGTTTTATTTTTAATGCTCTTTGTGTATTGACGAGCGCACAAAGTAAATTTAGATGGGTAGGGATTATTGACTGTAATTATATTTATCAGACATAGAGCAATTGTTCAACTTAGTAATTAACTAGGGATGCCTAATTATAAGTTGTGGCTAGAAAATTAATGCACGTAGGTCGCCTAGTTTTACTTCAATTTTTCCTAATCATACTATGATTTCTATAGAACAAATGACATACTTTATCGACGGTATTAAAACTCCAACAAGAATGCTTCTGGATGCCTCAACAGAAGGTACATTAAGAACTCGGAATGAAAATGAGGTAAACACACTAATTGAAAACATGTGCCAAAATGAACATCACTCAAGTAGATTCTTAGAGTATATTCAAACACAACAGTTTTATCTCAACTTGAGGTAATTTTGAAACAATTAGTCGCATCATCATTGGTTCTAGAAAATGTGAGTCAGGTTCAACCACTAAGGTGTGATTTTTGTGGGGAAGGACATGCGAATAGAAACTATGTACCTGAACGAATTAGTACTGAAGCTCAATATGCAAGCTTTCAGAAGAATAATTCTTATTTCAATACCAACAATCCTGGTTGGAAAGATCACCCAAATTTCAAGTGGAGCAACAATCAAACTTTGAATGCCAATCAAGGAGTTCAAAATGTTCCTCAAGCACCAACAAGGAAACCATCACCACTCGAGGAAGCCTTAGCCAACTTCACGAAAACTACTCAAACAAGTTTCGAACAAGCCGAGAAGACTTGGGAAAGCATAAATACTGAAACTTCATTAAAAAATTATGAAATGAAAATCGGGAAATTGTCTCAACAAATGGAAGTACAAGCTAGTTCAAGTGGGGGATTTATTGAAAATACAGTCGACAATCTTAAAATAAGAGTTGCAAAGACATTGAGTTGAGAAATAGTGGTATATTCAAACCTAAAGGTTAGTGATGAGAGGAAATAATCAGGTAAGGAAGATAAAAAGAGCGAGAAAGAGGTAGTAGTAAAAAAAGAGGGAGAAAAAAGTGAGGAAATTAGTGAATCAGAGTTAGAGGGGACACCCTTGACAAACTCATAGATAGAAACTCACCATTGAGAAGGATGAAGAAACAAATCCTGAATGAACCCAACCCATAACCATCTGGTTACTGTAAGCTCAGAGTGCAAACTAAGAGGGGGGTGTGAATTAGGTTATAAGACCTTTTAGGTTATTTTGGAGATATTATGGTTATTTTAACTTTTTCTAAAAAGTTGTGATAAACAATTGAAAAAATATGCAGTGTCATACCTTGAAAAATAAGAATGACCTCGTGAAGCGCAACCGCACGCTCGCGGGATGGACTTAATAGAGTCACCACCGATCTTTATTTATTCCCATAGAAGGAAATGTAAAATATCAAATAAAACCCCTAAAAGAAAGACAAGGATATGATCATCACAACCAATATTTGAGTTCGGGAGTCGGTTACACAAGGGGAAGGTATTAGCACCCCTCGTGTCGGTTGTACTCAATGAGAACCATTTAGTTAAAGTCGAGTGAGTGTTAGCTTACGTTAGTTTCTAATCTTCTACTTATTGAGTGGAAAAAGAGAGGGAAGAAAAATAAATATTTTTGGATTTTATTAAAGAGAGAGGGGACCTAAGGGTTTTTATTACTAGGGGGCTCGACAAGACTTCACAATCTCGTGCCTACGTATCCTCATAGTGCAATGAGGAACTCATAGCCTTTGTATTTCAGGGACTACGAGGGAAAAAGAAAAAGGTGGCTCACTAAGGATTAGGGTCATTGCGCCTATGTATTCACATTGATAAATGGAAAATCAGAGCGTCCATAGTTCTGGGTAAAAAGAGTTTGTTTGTTGGTCGCTTTTAGCGAAAGATATTTAGTCGCATTTGACAGAAAATATTGTTTTACCCAAAAAAGGTGAGGAACAGACGTTTGCATCAAGAAAAAATGGATTTACAAATCAACATTTGCGGGAAACGCCTCTTATCTCAACTCAAATAGTCTATGGACGAAAAAATGTTTTGCGTCGTCTCAAGACACAATATCTCTCGTTTATGAAAAAAAAATTAGGATTAATTGCATGACCAAGAGAAAAGATAGTTTGATTAGTTGAATGTATTTTAGGTGAATGTCTAGCATTTGATGAGAATCAACGTTCAAAAAGTTACGTGAAAATGTTGGGTCCTAACAGCCATTTTCATTCAAGTTGTTACGAAAACTGTTTGATGGACAACAAACACTTGATGATAATCAATTGCACAAAGAGTTACACCAAGATGCTAGATCTTAATGGCCCTTATTTGTCCAAGTTGATATTAAATGTTTTAATAAACGAAAGAATGAATAAACAGTTATCCCAATGCGCGAGGCTTGAGACCGATAATTCGAGGGTTCTGCTAGAATGCTAGATTCCAACAATCCTCTTCTTCCATGTTTATTAAGAAAAGGGTATTAACG